GATGTTAAGAAACCACTAGTCTTTGTACTTCATAGTTCATACATCCAGATCTTACTTTTCTTTCTTGACTTCACTTTCCTCAATCTCGACTTCAACTCTACTGACCAGAAAATATCAACAAGGTTTACTGGAGAATCCAAATTCATTTGCAAACACTAGATATGGATATAAAAAGACAAATAAATGATCCAAATATTCGATTCCAGATTGCTACATGCTCCAAGCTGAGCATATAAATCCTACCCTGGCGTAAAATTACTGCCGTTTGAGATTAAAGATATAAGCAACTCCACATTTCAGAAATAGAGTACTCAAGACAGGTAGCAAGTCCTTTTTAGTTTTTCATGAAACCATATTACTTCCAGCAGCACTATTAAAAGTGTTCCAGTTTAGTTCATGACTTCAGAGGCTCTAAAAGTTCCTCATTTCTAGTTACTGTGCACTGAGCACTTCGATCTCAAAGACCAAGACAGAGTTAGGCTGTATTCCCCATGCTGGAAATCCACTAGCTCCATAGCCATAGTCCGGGGTGCACTGCAAGACGAACGGATATACATTAGCAAAAATGAATATGCATTGAAGCGTATAATTTCCACGATTTAAAAAAGAAAAGTTTGGTCAATAAAGTGCATTTGATGATTTGAGCATTTCATTATCATGACCACGTCTAAAATTACTCAGATTATCGAATCTGCATATCAAGCTAGTATGAAGTGTTTACACACACACACACACATTCCCTTAAAACATGAGTATTTGTAAACGTACCTCCAAATCATCAACTTTGTTGGATATGGCCATTGTTTTAAAAAACATCCGCCTAGTCCGCTTAGGCGTACGCCTAGGCCTAGGCGGTACCTAGGCCGCCTCACTAGCGCCTAGCGCCTAGGCGGTATTTCGACTGCCCACCTAGATTTTACGAGCGTTTAGGGGAGCATTGTCTGCTTACGTGGATTGCACCATGTAGGCATTGATTGTGATTTTATGTGTCGTAGTCTACACATCCTCCAAACTCCATTAACCTCCAAATATGAACACCTTCACTACCTCCTCCGACCTTCAGCAAAACCTCATCGACCACCACTTAAACGAAGAAAGAAAAAAATGCCCAGAAACCGCTTAGGCGTCCGCCTAGGCGACTAAGCGCTAGGCGCCAAGTCTGACGCCTAGAAGCGCCCAACGTTTAATGTAACATTGGATATGGCAAGTAAAAAATTGGCTATATTGATGATATTTAGTTTTCCAAGTACTGAGCATTGGCGATTAGTTTTGCAAATCCAGAAATTTGGGGGTAGTTGTGCAAATACACATGATTTAAGGGGTATATATACACAGAAACCTATTACAAAATGGATCTTTTTAATGACATGCAAATTTACTGACCACTTCTTACACGCGAAAGCCCCAAAAAATTTAATGTTGTTATTTATGAATGTTATATTGTGTGTATATGAGAAGGTATATATTCACATAGAGCACTGATTAGAAAAGTCTAGCATGCTCCTCATTCGACGTTAGCAAATCATCTTACCAGCAAATTCCACAGAAATTGATTTCCACTGGGCTAAGATTACTTGGAAAATTGTGCACCAGAAAAATCTACACAGCATACAATCATCAGTCGATGATTCCATCATTTGCTGGTTCAAGATTTCCCCGATCTTGAACATTTTGGAAGATGCTAATTAGTCTTTTAGAATTATAGCAGACCTCTTGCTTCTCCATATTTTGCTCAGAATTTTGCACCAATTAATGGAAGGCTTTCCGGTTAACTTCAGTAAATTTTCTCAAATACTTGAGTCATACTCCACTCAATCATATTTTAACGGAAAAGATACAGTGAAGATGTGGCAGTTATTACTTTCTTAGCATGCCATGGTACAAATTTATTCATAGGAAATAATAGAGTAGGTATAGGACGTCACTAGAAGTACACTAACCATAAACTTTTGATTGGATGTTCAGGCAAATAAAATTAAGACCTAATGTTCTTTGGCCCTAGAAAATGTATGCAAAATGCATAATGCACAATGATAATACCTGAAGGCGAGCGACTTCTCCAACTTGCATGTCCAGCACGCCTTCATCCCAGCCTATAAACATGAGAAAGTGGGTTAATGTCCAATGAAATATAAGAACATTGTGGGGATGGAGGTGGGGGTTCCTTTTCTTCTTCCTTTTTTATTAATAGATCGAGTGAAGTCAGTAGAAATGCCAGAAAATTTCACATTGTTTAGTCAATGAATTTTTTAGCTTGAGGATATACTGTTAAACATACCAAACAAATAAGGTTTCCTCTTGACTAGCAAGAACAAGTGATTTAGTAAAAAGAGAATTATTAATGCTACTTAGTTTCCCTCCTAATCAAGTTCTTATATCTATATTCTATAATAACAGGACAAAATACATGCACTAATGTTCTGAGCTGTTAACCATCTATTTGAGTCAATCATCTATATGGGACCTAGCAGGTTTCTGTAAAGGAAAAGCGAAATAAAAGAATATAACTGCCTAAACCATCTATCTATCTATTACTATATACCAAACCTCTGTTACTATATACTAAACAGTTGTTATTGGTTGCACGAATGCGACAAGTGACGATTGCATTGTTGTGGGTTTCGGAAAGAGAGAAGATGAAGTGATATATTAATGAGACAATTCTTAAATTTTGATAGGATTGACATAGAGACAATAAAACATGACATAATAAAGCTGAAAACACAGGTTCAATAGTAGGAGAGATAGATATTACTTTCAAAAAATAAAGACTAGAAGTAGAACAACTGACAATAGTCACATTCTGCAACCAGTGGTAGCTGTTTTAGTATATAATGACTAGTTTGTTACCCGTGCAATGCACGAGAATTAGAGAGATGATTGACCCATTAATATACTGTTTTCCTCTCTCTCTCTCTCTCTCTCTCTATTGTCCTATTAATATGCCACTTCTCTCATCCCCGTCTCTCTCGCCTCCCTCTTCTCTTTCCTAAACCTACAGCCATCCTATCATCTCTCTAACTCCCGTGCATTGCACAAGTAACAAACTTGTTACTATATACTAAAACAACTG